TAGAACTGAAAAGTCTGCGATTTTCTCCCAGCTACACTCTTGCAATTTTCCTCGTGGGTCTGCTGCAGGGAAGTTGGAAAGGCTGAGTCCTCCCTGTCCTTTGTTGGTTTTCCCCTGGTGAGTTCCTTCTCACTTTACAGGATTAAGAGTACTTTCTTTTAGTGCAAGAATAGTCTGTTCAGGTCTGACGGGATTATGTAAAGGAGGAAGAGTAGCTGGGTCTTGGCCCTGATCTTGTTTCTGAGATCCTGGGAGGGTTCCTCCATTTCTGGTCTGCCACAACGTCACAAACATTAAACCTAGTCTGCTGAAAATTAGGGACCAGAAAGCTGGGGTTGCAATTTGCACAGAAATGATTTGAGGGAGTGCATCTGGATCCCAGTTCAAAGATAGCATATCCCAAATATACTGGGGAAGCACTTATCCTCTTCTGCCTTGGAGGCTGCACATTTCTCTCTAGTGTCTTTCAGCAGCCAAACTTTGCATTTCACATAGTAATGATGTCACCATATTTTCAAATCATAGTTCTACTTTTGCTGTTTCAGATGTTTAGGGATAATATGCATGTAAAGCCTAGCACAAGCTTAGCACATTTGTTTCACTTTTCAGTCACATCTCACCAAGTGTTATTTTGATGCTTTCTTCTATCCATGAGAAGCATTTTTGCTACTGTTTAAGCAATAAACAGTGGCAATAGTGTGTTTCTCTGTCAATTTTCGGATTCCCCTGGACATCATCATCTAGAGACTTGTTCTCTTCCTCTAGGATAAACTGAGTTAATTTGCACAGCAGGGACCGTGACCTTTGATATAAGATAAATGCAAAGATGGGATGATGTCTTTTTTAGAGACCGTATTCAACTGGGTTTCACTTCAATTACTGCTTTTATTTACATCATATCCAGAGATCAAGGTAAGATTCCATAGAGAACCTGGTGCTGATGGTGAGAGAAAAATCAGAAGCTGCTCCCTGAATATCAGACTCCTGTAAAGTTAATTCCACACTATGTGGCAGGACTGTTATTCCTGGGTGTGACATTGGCCAGCCATACATTCTCCCAGGAGGATCCATTTCATCCTAAGTACAAAATGAATTTGATTTAGAGCTCTGTTGAGTGTTTCTGAGGTTAGCTTTTTAATTTTTTAAAAAGTTTTATTTTTGTTGTTGTTTTATAAAATCGGGGAACCAGGACTGGCTGCTCTGTTTTGTTAAAAGAAAACCAGCACTCAAGTACAGATGGTTCACTTGGAGAAAAGGTGAGCTACGAATATATAGCAATGGTTCATAAATTGATCGTCTGGCTGGAAATTTATCTGGAGCATGCTGAGTTAGAGGAAGCTGCAGTGACAGATGATGGTTCTTGAAAAATTAGTAACCAAGAGTTATGCTGCAAGAAACCTCCCCCCACAAAAAGAGAGAGGCTTCATGTTTCCTCGAAGCAGTGTTTAGGTAATGAGCTTATTGATGATAAATTTAGGATTTGGGATATAAGCTATGAACAGGTCTGGGGACAACTGCTGAGAGTTTTGCCTAGTTCTTGAACTACTGAGTACTGCACATCCCAAGGATGAAGCCCCAAGGCTTTCTCTGCTGAATTTTGCATAGACAGAAAGAGAGAAAGAAAGTAAATCACCATGGGTAATATATATGAGAGACAAAATTTAATTCTTAACATTTAGGCAGTTAACGTAACAACAGGAAAAATGTAGGAAATTAACCATTAAATGTGTATATTCATTCCAAGTTCTAAATAGGATGAAGCAGCATACTTTGCATAAGCTAAAAGGCAAAGCAGAAAAGTTATTGTGTAAGATAATCCACAATGGGATGTTTATTGACAGAATAGGAGTGGGGTAACTGAGCGAGAGAACACTGAGCACATCATGAAAACTAAACACAACCAGTGGGAAGCAGAGTGCAATTTCCCACTTTCCTGTGCTCATATATTCACTAAAGAGGTTCTCCCTCATTTGTTAGAACAACAAATTATTTATTATTTATTGACCACTATTTACTTATTTGTTTGTTTATTTATTTATAACAGGCGAGAGGAACAAAACACCATCTCAGTACATCTGTAAATATGATAGTTGTGGAAACTTGGGTTGGGATTCAAGAAAGTATGGATCAAATCCAGCCAGAATGTTTCTGAAAATGTCAATATTCCCTTTTTCAGCTAAGTGATCGTGCCTAGTCAATCTGGACTCACCTGAAAAAACTAAGCTAGACTCACATCAAGTTGGACTTCAGATGGAGGCTCCCAGGAAAGTAAGAAGGACAGGGGAGTGAGAAATTAAGGGAAAAAAAGAATTAATTTCCTCTGAATCTCATTTCATAATTTTAGTTAGCGAAAAGAAAAGAGTGGATTACCTAAGATTTTTGTTCATTTTCAGAATGAATGTAAATTAAAAGAATGATGGTATAAACACTATTTCTACCTACTTGACTTAACTTGCACTGAATTCAGCGAGACCTCCCACAAGCATAAGGACTGCAATAACAATTTCTAAGCACCTCAGATAAATTTAGCATTATATTTGCAGGCATGGCAGAAACAGAACAAGAGAACCAAACAGAAATCACGGAATTCCAGTTGCTGGGATTTGTAGGGCTTGGAGATCTGCAGATTCCTCTCTTCTGCCTCATCTTAGTTATCTACCTTGTTACCATGGTTGGGAATATCCTCATCATTTTGCTGGTTGTTACCGATCCCCACCTTCACACCCCCATGTATTTCTTCCTGGGTAATCTGTCTTGCCTGGAGACCTGCTACAGTTCTAACATCCTTCCAATGATGCTGGCTAATCTCTTGCATGGTGGGCGAAGAACAATTTCTGTAACAGGCTGCATGATACAATATAACTTTTTTGGTCTTTTGGCAGCTTCTGAATGTTTTCTCGACCTGCTACAGTTCTAACATCCTTCCAATGATGCTGGCTAATCTCTTGCATGGTGGGCGAAGAACAATTTCTGTAACAGGCTGCATGATACAATATAACTTTTTTGGTCTTTTGGCAGCTTCTGAATGTTTTCTCCTAGCAGCAATGTCCTATGATAGGTATTTAGCAATCTGTAAGCCACTGCATTACACAACACTAATGAATGATAGAGTTTGCCTCCAACTTATAGCTGGATCATGGATCAGTGGTTTAGTTCTTATGACCATAGTTTTATATTTAATGCAGCAGTTAAAGTTCTGTGGCCTTGGTGAGATCAATCATTTTTTTTGTGAATTCAATCCAATATTAAAGTTAGCATGCAGTGACACTCACTTGATTGAACTTGTCAGTCTTTTATTTTCTGTTCTGTGTATCTTGTTTCCTTTATTCTTGACTTTGGCCTCTTATATTGTCATTATTTCCACCATCATGAGAATGGCATCTGTCAGTGGGAGGAAAAAGGCTTTCTCAACCTGCTCCTCACACCTTATGGTGGTGTCAATTTTCTATGGCACTATGATGATTGTCTACATATTGCCCAAAACAGATAGACTGCGAAACATCAACAAAGTCTTGTCTCTGTTTTATACAATCCTGACCCCTTTGTTCAATCCCCTGATATACAGTCTACGAAATAGGGAGGTAAAAGAGGCCCATAGAAGAGCAGTTGCTAAATTGTATAAAACTGAAAAAGTGCACTGCTGTAATTTATTATGAAAAAAAATTAGAAACTTGTTTGATCTCCAATAAAGAAGGATTTTGGGTTCTTTGTGGACACTATTATATTTGTGGATTTCTCCAAAATTGTATATTAGAGATAAAATAGAGAATTCCCTCATGAACTGGCCCTCCCCTCCCACGAAAGTGAAAGGAGGGTGAATTTTCCTCCCAACTTTAACCTTTCAGAAATCCAGCACACATAGAAGAAAAACTAGAATTTTACCAAAAAGCTTTCTACAATGGTTCTAAGGCTGCTTCTCATGGAACCACTGCAGAGACTTTCCTTGATAAATCCCTCCATTATTTAACCACATTGTTCAAGTTGTATTTTTTTAAAATTCACAGGGCTAATAACATTGGCAATTTTTCCCTTGGAAGTATACAATTCTGTACTTCATGGATGTCAGATTAAATTGTTTTTCTCTTTAATAATATGTAGCTCCTTGAGATCGGTACTAGTATGGATAAACACACATAATATTAGCGTAAACCACTGAGAATAATGATAAATTTTTCCAATGCAACATCATTATTTTAATCCACAGAGATAGACATATTTCAAGTGTGTCTTTTGTCTTCAGTGCTCCTAGATAAGTGACAGAAGCAAATCTTCAGATTCTTGTTTTGGTCATCACTGAACCAAACTGCCCTGCAGGTGTTGTGAGACAAAATGTTCCTCCCCAAACTGATGTCTCCAGATGTTTGGGGATTACTGCTGTCATATTTCCAACCATCTTGGCCATTGCAAATTGTTAGAGGGCTGGCCCTCAAACACTGAGAAGACAACAGGTTGGGAAGACTAGATGTTGGTAACTGCACCATCTCTTTGCATCTAGGAGCGTATCTTACCACTAGGTGAAGTGTTGTAATGATAGAATGATCTTCACCTGCTGTCCTTGTATTTGTTTATCACTTGTCTTATTCCTCCTGACCATGGAACACTCATTTGGGATTGCAGAACCGAGCCACCATGGTACTTTTCTCCACGAAAACAGTACATTTCAGATGGTGATATGATGAGGATTTAGAAATTGTTAGAAGATTACAGAGCAGGTAATGCCTGAGGTGCTGAGAAACGACTGCTGTGAAATCAATTGCAGCTTCTTCAAGAGAAGATTGGTATGATGAGTGTCCAAGACAATCAGAAGAGATGCTGGAGATTTCACCAACTCTGTGTACCTTCAATCCTTTTTGATCACTAGGACAAATAGTGAGACACAAATGAGGGTAAGGGTCCTCAGTTTGGTTTACTGTCAGTGTAACTGTTTCCCATCTGTCCTATTATTATTATTAACCCAAGTCCCTGTGTATTAAATACAAAGGAACAAGCTCTTTGTCTCTGCTTCTGTCTCTCTTTCTGGTGTCCTTGTCTTCAAGATGTAGTTTAGATAGAGGTGAGGGTTTTCTATCTTCATTTGCTCATAATAACCTAGCTTTTTGTCGGATTCAGTGAATTTGCTAGAATTGACTCAGTAAGGAACATACGCTCTAATAAATCATGTGCTCAATTCAGATGTCCAACACTTGATTATAATGCCTATATTTTACATAATTGACTCTGCTAGATGAGACTGATGGGAATTTTGGTTTAACAAGGCATAGAAGAAAACAGGTTATTCATGCTTCAGATACATCATGGCTATACATATAAATTAATATTCAAAAGTCCTCTCCCCATGTACCATATAAAAGCAGCCTAGTGGAACACCAGATGGGTCAGGTTTGCATGACAGAGTGAGATGGGTAACCTTTCCCCCTTGCAAGAATAAGCATGCTGGAATGTAAATCCAACCCACTGACCATCCCTATCCTTCTGTTGGCAATGCTAGTTGAGAGCTTTTATTCCAGTTCCTATACAAACCACATATTTTCTTTCATAAACTGAGTTTCCTTGTCAATTTTTGAAAGTGGATATGCCAGGCATTGGAGAAAGGCATCTGGATCTCAGATTAAAAGTTGATATATCCAAAGTTATAGTGCAGATGTCTTACCCGGTTCTTCCTT